GTAATAGTATTTTCACCACAAAAATATATCACTAATGTTCTCTAGAAATTAAAGTGTCAGTAATTTTGTTTTCATCAACCATAACTAAAAAAATGAGCACAACATCTAAATATGCACAACTTCAAAACATACAATAGGGTTAAAACTGTGTGATACTCGATAAAGAGCTACTCACTCTTTCCCATGTAAGCTCCTCTGCAGCCCGGTCCCACTCCAGAGCATTCCAGTTCATGTCATCTGGAAGCAGAATTGCAGTGTCAAGATCACTGATGGGACTCTAACTGCATGATAATATGCACTCTCTAAATTGGTATTTTTTTTTAAAGATTTATTTTATTTTATTTATTTATTTATACATGCACTGGGTACAGTCAGAAGCGTGGGACGGTGAGAGAATTCACCAGAGCCAGAGCGGGGAGCAGAGCAGGCAGAAGGACCGAAGTACACTGCTGAGGGGAGCAGCGGGCGGCAGGAGAGGTCTGCACGCCATGTGGGACCCTCCTCCGGTGGCCGGGGAGCAGCCGGGGATCGAACCGGCACTGCAGAGGCTGTGGGCAGCTTCACAACCCAGCACTCAACCGCTGCGCCACCAGGGAGGCCCACTGAATTGGTATTTTTAAAGCCACATTTAAAAGTCTTCTACACTGAGTATCTGCTTGTTAGGTGATAAATTAAAATGCATATAAATAACTACAACATATGAAACAAAACGGCACAATAAGGTGATTCTAGAGTGTGATGAGTGCTAGAAAAGCAGCAGAATTTTATTAAAGAGAGGAATTCAACAGCTCTGAATCAGGAATGAATCTGGCAACTTTTGAGAAAAGGAAGGAAGCCAAGAGACCAAAATTCTCTGGATGAGGAAGAGTGTAATAGAAGAAAGGCCGACAGGGATCAGATTACACAAGAGGAATGTGAAGCCTGCATTTTATTTTGTCCCCTAAGGAAAACCACTGCAAGATTTTAAAGCCAAGAGAAAAACACTGCTAACACTATGTGGGAATGCACACTGGTCCAGCCACTATGGAAAAGAGTCCCTCAAAATATTAAAAATGGAGCCTCCCTGGTGGCACAGGTGTTAAAGTCTCAGTACTATTAAGCTATTGCCAGCCATTGCAGCTCGAGTTCAATCCCTGGCCAGGAAGGTAACCCAAACAGCAGAGCAGACCTCTTCTGTCTCCCCTGCTGCTTCCCTCAGTAGTGTATTTCAGTAGATCCCACTCTGTCTCTGGTGAATGCTCTTGCCACACCGTACCTCTGGCCTATACCCCACTTTTTGTATGCATAAATAAATTTTTAAAAAAACTTTAAAAAATATATGTATTAAAAATGGATCTACCAAATGATCCAGCAATTCTACTATTTATCTACCTAAAGAATGCAAAAATGCTAACTCAAGGGGATATATGCTCTCCTATGTTCACTGCAGAGCTGTTTACAGAAGTCGAGTTATAGAAACAACTTAGGTGCCCAAGGACAGATGAGTGGACAAGGAAGATAAGAATATACACAATGGAATACTGCTCAACTATAAAAAAAATAAACTTTCGCCATTTGCCAACATGGGTGGAGCTGAGGGGATAATGAGAAAGCTTTTCAGAATGAGAAAGTGAAACACCAGGTGGCTTCTCTTCTTTGTGGGATACAGAGAAATAAAACACAGAGAACAGGGCCTCCCCTGGTGGTGCAGCAGTTGAGCGCTGGGCTGCGAAGCTGCCCGCAGCCTCGGCAGCGCCGGTTCGTTCCCCAGCAGCCAGGCGAGGGTCCCACATGGTGCGCAGACCTCTCCTGCCATGCCCGCTGCCCCCCTCAACACTGTATTTCATGTGTCTGCCTGTTCTGCTCCCCGCTCTGGCTCTAGTGACTTCTCTCACCCTCCCGCGCTTCTGACTGTACCCAGTGCTTGTATAAATAAATAAATAAATCTTTAAAAAAAAGCACAACAGAGACCAGACAATACCAAACCTGTTACAAAACCCTAGAAATCTGACTGCAGAACTGAGGTTGCCAGAGACGGGGTGAGGAGGAGAAGGCACAGTGGACTATGGTGGAAGACTGTGCGTGCCTTGATAGTGGGTGTGGTACAGTCACATATACCTGATAGGTGTGAGCCTGTACCTACAAACACACACACAACACACACACACACACACACACACACAGCCTTTTCAAATTAAAAAGTAATACTTTCCCATTGTAAGTTGCACTGACTTAATAAAAATAGCAAAGGAATAAGGTAAATGTGTGTCAAATTCTTTATATCACCTTACAAATAATTTCCTCCTGTCTATCCTACAGAAGTCCTACGTAAAACAGGATTTTTAAAACACAAAATGTACCCTGCTTCACAGACAAAAATATTCATGCATGCATAGCTCTAAGTTTGCCAAAATAAAGCCAAAAACAGGTTAGAAATGTAGCTTCGTAACATTGAACTTTGCAAGCGCTCACCCGGCCCCAGGGCGAGCGGGCGTGGACTGTGAGGGAAGGACACAGGCAGGCCTTACCCTGAGCACCGTTGTTGGCGTCAGCCGCGTCCTCCCCACCCGCGTCGTCTTCCTCCTCGTTCTCCTCCTCCTCCTCCTCTGCCTGGTCGTCCTGAGCGTCGGGGTTCTCCCCCACCACGGCGTTCTCAGCGGGTGGGTTAGCAGGCTGGTCGGGGGCAATATTTTCAGCACCATTTCCTCCTGCTGGAGCCTAAAATGACCATAAGAGCCCAGAAATTTCACTACCTTATCCCAGTTTTGCTTGTTTTCAAATCATACTATCCTAAATAAACAAAACTAGCAAACAAACACAAGCTTGTTTAAAATTAAAAAAAAATATTCTACGTCATCTTTCTAAATGTATCTGATTTTGGATCAACTTGGTATTGCAGGACATCAACTCTTCACAGGATATACACTTAGTATAACTCAGGAATTAACATTTCCCAAAAGATGATAGGAAATGGGCTAAGGGGTGGGCTATTCTGAAGACATCATTTTGCAACCCTTGTTTGTAAGGGCTCTCCTATCTTTAATGACATCCTCTGGGATGAAGACCTATTTATGTATCTGTTCCTTTACACATCTACAGATACATAACAATCTTGTAATCAGTTGAACACTTAAGGAAAAGGACTCTAATTTCTGTTCAGTAGGGACGTGCGTCCCTATGGACCGTCGTGTCCACATTCACCCCACTCTGCCAGCTCTTTTGAGCTCTGCTTCCTACAAATGGCAATTCCTAGTCGTAGTTCATTAAAGTACTGAACTTCCATGGAGATGATAAAAGTTATAAAAGAATAATGTATTAGATGCTTCAAAGTATTAGGTATAATGATAAAGAGTATTAAAGTGGACAAGAAGAGCCCTTTCTTTACAGTCTTTCATTTCAGGTATATGGTTTTCAAAAGAGATGAGGCTCTCTTAATTGTGTAGAGGAGAAGGTATAGCAGCAGTCTGTAAAATTAATCAACAATAGCAAAAGATACTGGGAAAAAAGTCTAAAATGAAACATTAAGTTGCCATTTGTCATTTTCAGTATTTTACAATTTTTTTATAATAATTGGCTTCACGGGCCTCCCCTGATGGCGCAGCGGTTGAGCGCTGGGCTGCGAGGCTGCCCGCAGCCTCTGCAGCGCCAGTTCGATACCCAGCCACCTGTGAGGGTCCCACAAAAAAATAATAATAATAGTTGGTTTCACAAGTAAGTGGCTATTTTTCAGACATTTTTAATCTGACAATCTCTGTGCAAGCAAGATAACAAGAACTATTTATTATATCTTCTTCCTCTTCTCAAAGCTTCTGGCAGTGCTCTTACATCCAAGCATATCATCTCTCCTAAAGAAAAAGTAAAACTGCACTGGAGTGTTGTAACAGGGTTTCAATATTTCTGCTTTGGGTTATGATCCTCCCAGGAAGAATTAAAGGTGAGGATTTCGCATACAGAGAAATTGATGAACAGAGAGAGGAGGTAATGCTAATGCCACAAGTCAGCAGTATATGCAGAAGTTTGTATCTTAGCTTCCAGGGCAGCATTAAGCAGTTAACTCAGGAATACATCTCAGACATTGTTCCCTTTCCCTGGAAAATTAAGAGGTAAAAGCACAACAGCATGTGTTTGATCTTTCACTTCACCCTTAACCTCCTCCCAAACTTTTTCACTTTTTGCAATAGCAGACATGGGTTTGGGTGTGAGAGGGTGACAACAATTCTCAAGTCCTATCTAAATAACATCAATTCCAGGGTGAAGACACGTACCTCATTTTGGTGGTGCCCAGCAGCGTTGAAGGGTGGAGCAGCGTGCTCCAACCAAATTGGTGCCCCCCCGTGAACTATCTGCTCTCGCAGCCACACCAGGCTGATGAAAGCACACAGCGTGCAAGTCACCACAAAACAACCCTGCAAACAATCTGCCAATAAATTGTCCCTATTAAAAAAAAAAGTTTGTAGAGTTACTCCATAGAACACTTAAAAGATATAAGTAGGTAACAGTATTTCATTTTACACTAAAATCTCAGTAAGAACAGCCAGAAAAATCATTTTCTGGGTCAAAATTCCGTTCTTTAAACGTAACTATTTATTTTTATTTTAAAGATTTATTTATTTATGCATACAAGAACTGGGGCCAGAGTTGCAGGGGGGTGAGAAGATTCACCAGAGACAGAATGGGGAGCAGAACAGGCAGATCTACTGAAATACACTGCTGAGGGGAGCAGCGGACGAGACAGGAGAGGTCTGCCACGCCATGCAGGTCACCTCCCTGGCCGGGAATCGAACTCATGCTGCAGTGGCTGCCGATAGTTTCTAGTGCTACGTCTTAACCCCTTGCTCCACCAGGGAGGCCCCGAAAAATAATCATTTCTGAGGATAGTGAAATTCTATCTTATAAGCTGGCCAGATTTATTTATTCATATATTCATATTATGTGTGTTTATAGTTTATCAGGCCAAAAAAATAAATAAATAACCCCAGCACTACATGGAAATGAGCTATCTACCATCTCTCCTTGAACAGGGCAGAGAAGCACGAAAGCAACAAAGAAAACACCAGAAACTCCTGTCACCATTTAAACAGGCCAGCAGCTGTCGAAGGCGGAGGAGCACACATGTGCCGACTACTCCAGGCAGTTGAACAACTGTCCACCCCTACGAGGAATATCCTTATCCTTACTTCACACGTGTTACCACATCAACGATGGCCCAAACAAATGAACAGCAGCAACAAAACAAAGTCAGAGAAGGGCCTCCAGGAAGACCCCAGGGCAGGGAGAGAAGGAATGCTTTCTGCAGGGAGGTACAGAGCAACCGTGTCTGCCACACACTGCAGAACCTGTCACTCAGCAAGCAGGTGAAATGTTTATGCTAACTGCAAATATACTAAAAGTATATTAGTTCCTCAACAAATTCAGACAAACTCTACTACCTTTGGCAATCGTACACGAAATCGTGAAGTATCATAACACTGAAGACATCTTTGTTCTTTTCCTCTCTGAAGAGTTTTGTTCTTCCCTATATGTCTCATTCCAGAATAATTCCAGGATAACTGGAGAATCTTGGCAACCATTAGAAAATCCACTATCATAATGAACTGACTTTCCACCATAGAAAAGACAAGGATCAACAGATGTTGGCCTAGCATCTCCAAATTTAACTAGACTCACCTGGCCCTCAGATTTTATATGAAACAGACCCAAATCAAGAGGGCTCCTGACCGTCACCATCCTTGTTAAGGAAGCCTCCATACCATTAAAGCTGTGATAGGCTGGGTCTGAAATATTAACACCTCTACGCCTTTGTATCAGCATTAAAAATAACTACTGGTTGCAGATTTTAATTAGAGACAAACTCTTTGTGTAATTGCTTTTTCCTCACACACTGAATCTGGGCTGGTTTTGTGAAATGCCCAGTAATGCTGCCCGAGTTCCAGCCTAGAAGCTTCCACTCTGACCCTTTCCAATGCTGCCCCGAGACCACCATGGAAAGCCTGCGCTAACCGTCTGGAAGATACCAGGCCAGGTGAAGAGAACTAAGGCACCCCAATTAGTGACATCCTGGACCAGCCAACTCAAGGGCAACCCAGGGGCAGCTGAAGCAGGCCCAACCCATGAACTCAGCTAAGATTAGTCCAAATGGCTGATCGCCAGAATTATCAGCAAACAAGTGATTATTGTTTTAAGCCACTTTATTTTGGGGACAGGATGTTTTGCAGCGATAGGAAACTGATACACCGTGCCTAGAGATGACCTAGAGACTGAGCTACACAACAGGAGCAGCTCTAAGAGGTTAAGAAATTTAAAGTATAACTTCAGAATGTAATTTATTCTATATATAAAACGAACACCACCTCTAAAAAGTTCATTACAAGAATTTTCAGAAAAACTGGTTCAGTTCTTCAAACTGTGAAAGGCAGCATGGTTTATAAAAACAAGCCATATTTACATTTTCTTTGAACTATTCCCCCCACCCCCACCATGCCTTCAGCATCACCCCAGAGTGGATGGATGAGTGCTCTCAAGGAGGCAACTCAGGAGGCACCCCCGCCAGCCAGTCAGATGAGGGGGGAAGAGCAGCCTGCCAAGGTAAGCTACCCAACAGTGCTAAGCTTCAGTGATTTGACTATACATTTTAACAAGGTACTCAAAATTTTACATATTGTTTCTATATATATATTTGTGAATTTAATCTCTGAATGGCCCACTCAAATCACTAAGGTAAGATCTTCCTCATTTTGCAGATGAGGAAAAAGGATTAGAAAGGTCCACTATCACCAGAAAATGGCAGATGCAGGGGACATTTTTTTTATCCCAGTGTGAGTGTTCCTTCTGTTAAAACCAACTACCTAAATGATCCCACTTGCCAAAAAGTAGACATTCAATGCTTCCACAACAGGAAGTAAAGGTGGCAGGTAAGTGGAAGACTACCTTCTTTATCTGGCATTTCCACTGACAGAGAGTTCATAAAAACCTGTTTTTCATATAGCCGAAGCCTACCAATTTAAGCATATAATTTGAGCATTGGTAAACATTAACATATTTTGCCATTTAAGACAAAAACCAGGGGCCTCCCTGGTGGCGCAAGGGATTAAGTCTCAGCACTATGAAGCTACCCACAGCCATTGTAGCATGAGTTCGATCCCCAGTCAGGGAGCCACCCACATGGCGCAGCAGACCTCCCCTGTCTCCCCACTGCTCCCCTCAGCAGTGTATTCCAGTCAATCCACCTGTTCTGCTCCCTGTTCGCTCTCTGATGAATCCTCTCACAACCCCCATACTTCTGGCCTGTACCCCAGATACTGTATGCATAAATAAATCTTTAAAAAATAAATTAAAAATGGGCCTCCCTGGTGGCGCAGGCAGCTGAGTGCAGCGCTGCGAAGCTGTCTGCAGCCTCTACAGGGACAATTCAATCCCCGCTGGCCACGGAGATGCCCACATGACGAGGCAGACCTCTCCTGTCTTGTCCGCTGCTCCCTTCAGCAGTGTATTTCATCAGTCTGCCTCTTCTGTTCCCCACTCTGTCTCTGGTGAATCCTCTCACCCACCCGCACATCTGGCCTGTACCCTGGTTCTTGTATAAATACATAAATCTTAAAAAAAAATTTTAAAGGCCTCCCCGATGGTGCAGCGGGTTGAGCGCGGCGCTATGAGGCTGTCCGCAGTCTCTGCAGCGTGGGTTCGATTCCCCCTGGCCAGGGAGATTCCCACATGGCGTGGCAGACCTCTCCTGTCTTGCCTGCTGCTCTCCTCAGCAATGTTTTTGGTTGTCTGCCTGTTCTGCTCCCCGCTGTGTCTCTGATGAATCCTCTCACCCTTCTGCATGTCTGGCCTGTACCCAGGTTCTTGTATAAATAAATAAATCTTTAAGAAACAAATTTAAATAAATAAATAATAAAACAAAAAAAAACCCATTAAATCAGTAATATAGCTCTCACAAATGAGAACTCATTTTACCCTTTCTAGACAACTGCGTTACTAACTAGCTGCTACACTACACTCTAAAAAAATAAAAAAATAAAAAAAAAAGCATAGAATTTTAGCAATGAACTAAACTGGAATAAGATTTCCCTGTTTGAACTGATTTTTATTAGTTTATAGGTACTAAAATGTAACTTCCAACAATCTTAGCAGTCACCTTTTGTTTTTCCCTGGCCTTCCCTCACTGCTTTTCAAATGCATCTGTTTCATACACAATTCCTAGATAAAAGTCAGAATTGAGGCATCTCTAGTGGCGCAAGGGGTTAAGATGCAACCTATGAAGCTATCCGCAGCCTCTGTAGCATGAGTTCAATCCCCAGCCAGCCAAGGAGCAAGCCACATGGTGCGGCAGACCTCTCCTTTCTCCCCGCTGCTCCTCTCAGCAGTGTATTTCAGTCTGCCTGTTCTGTTCCCCACTCTGTCTCTGGTGAATCCTCTCACCCCCGCACCTCTGGCCTGTACCCCGGTTCTTGTATGCATAAATAAATAAATCTTAAAAAATAAACACACAAGGGCCTCCGCGGTGGCGCAGCGGTTGAGTGCTAGGCTGCAAAGCTGCCCGCAGCCTCAGCAGCGCCGGTTCGATCCCCGGCTGCTGGCGAGGGTCCCACATGGCGCACAGACCTCTCCTACCGCACCTGCTGCTCCCCTCAGCAGGATACTTCGTCGGTCTGCCTGTTCTGCTCCCCGCTCTGGCTCTGGTGAACTCTCTCACCCTCCCATGCTCTGACTGTACCCAGTGCTTGTATAAATAAATAAATCTTTTTAAAAAATTAAAAAAAAAATACACACACACACAAAAACCCCAATGTAAACAATGTTCAAGTTCAAAACGTCTTCATTTATCTGGTCCCTGTACTGCCAAGGACACAGAAATTAAATAACCTGCCTATTCTAGTCAACAAGGGAGAACCAATATGTACGAAAATGTGTCACAGGCAAGTTTAAGTTTAATTTTTCTGAAATTTTCAACCACGATATAAAAAAACTGATGCAGACACAAGAAATCTCCTCCTTGATTTGTTTTCTACCAGAAATTTAACCTCTATTCTGCTGTATTCTTTGCCACTCGGCTCGTTTTTACAAAATAGCAATATTCTCTGAATGCTTCTCTTGACAAGAAAGTCTCAACACTGTTTTTTTGTCTTTCCTGACATAGGGATCAGAAACCCAAGGTCATCTGAGCACATACAAAAGAAGATTTAGCAAGTAGGTACAACTCTTTTGTAAGCTTCAGAATCTGCGATCATGATATGGTTCATTATTTACATCATTTCTAATTCTGACATTTTTAATGAAACACATGGGCCTTTCCCCCAAAAATAAAATTTACAATAGCAAATAATGCAACTAATACGAACGAGTTTTTAGAATCAGAAAAAAAAAATTAAGATTTATTTATTTATGCATATAAGAACTGGGGTACAGGCCAGAGATGTGGGGATGAGAGGACTCACCAGAGACAGAGTGGGGAACAGAACAGGCAGATCTACTGAAATACACTGCTGAGGGGAGCAGGGGGCAAGTCAGCAGAGGTCTGCTGTACCATGTGGGTGAGCTCCCTGGCTGGCCGGGGATCAAACTCATGCTGCAGAGGCTGCGGATAGCTTTACAGTGTTGTGCTTAACCCCGTGCACCACCAGGGAGGCCCCACAAAAAAAATTTTTTAATGGATCTGATTTCAAATGTATATATGTTGTTAAAATGTCATGTTTAAATAAACTCAACATAGGAATGCACAGTATATACCTTGTACTACACTACAGTCTATTAAATAATCTATCCCACCATTACAGTCCTTTAAAACAGGCATGTTTTAAAACAAACATCTTTTATATATGTAGCTATAACTGTTACAATATGAGACATAAGTTATAAAGTTTGTCCTCGAAACAGAACATAAACAACAGCTGGAGGAAGCAGTAGCTCATACAATCCTCCTATACAATACTCACGTGGACAGCATGTCCAGCGGCAGTGTCAGCAGTGAGCTCACGGAGCCAGTAAACAAGCACTTGTAGATGCGGCCTGTCAAAAAAGGCACATTAACTATGGTCACAGCTCTCTGCTGGCCCTCATTATTTTTAATGCCTCATTACACCACATTGTCCCATCTATATCTCAAGCATCTATAACTTCCTTACGAACAACTTTAAAGGCTCTCATTTCTAACCGCTCCTCATAATTTCTCCCATGCTAAGGATCATCTAAAATTTCATTCAACTGTTGCCAAAAAACTACTTGTTCCTTCAGCTTAACAATGGCGCCTTGGCTTCAGCTGCACTTGTTTCCTGCTCTTCGCTGCTCACCCTTCTCTAACTCCTTGCTCGGCCGAGGAAAGTGACCCCCTCTGTGAGCAGTCTGAGGTGTGTACACTTTACAAGCCCTTGCATCAACTGAAATGGATCCTGTCTTCATCTTGAGACTAATTTACAGGTTGAAGACTTTAGTTTCAATTTTTTTGTGAAATTTTGAAGTTTCTTCTGCTTCTGGCATTCAGTGTTGTTGGTTTAAGTCCAATGTCAGTCTGACATCCATTACTCCATAGGATAATGTGGAAGTGTAACATCTCCAACCATCCTAACTGTACTGGAAGGTTCAGAATGTGAATGTCTTAGGAGTCTGTGTCCTCCATCAGTCAGTTCACCCTCATTCTATGTGATGCCTGCATCTCTCATCCCCAGTCTCTTCTACGTCCTGGAACACTCACCAGACAAGGAGCAACAAGATGCAGCTCCATCTCTCTGCTTTTCCCTCACACTTGCAACGTTTTGTCTCTCTGAGCTGAGCTATATTCGTATGAGAATGCAGTGCTCAATCTTCTAAGGTCACTAACTCAGCCCTCAGCAGTACCTGTTTTGCTACATGGTATAGTAACCAAACTTTTCATTCCAATCCTTTTATTTTAAGGAGACAAAAGGATATTAACTATTCTTGCTTAAAACCTTGTCTGCATTTAATGCCAAAGAGTCATTTTTTATAGACTCTGGCTCCATACACTATCTACATCTTCTATGTATTCAAGAACAAAGACTCAAAAAAGGATCAACCAAGGGCTAGTATACTAACTTCCCAGAGAGTCTTCTATGTTTCAAAGATAAGCTTCCCAACTATTAAGGACAATTAGATATGAGTGTCTTTAAGAGGGCCGAGGGGGGTGTAAAGTTCTCCAAAGAATCTATCTTTCGCAATACTTGAGCGCTCTAATATACTTCAATGAATAAAATTAAAATTCCTTCCAATTATGGCCTGATTTTTGCTTTTCCCTTCTTTTGTGCACTTTATCAGTTACTATATGAGGTGTTTCTTTTCCACATCATTCAAGAAATTGACCAGTTAAAAAACAGTTAATAAAGGGGAATAATGTTTCTAAGCAAGGTTGTCCTAACATATGACACTATAATATCAAATAATTAAATTTCAAAATGAAATGGACTATTACTTCATAATATTAAATACTTAATGCAATGTTTAATAACTCTACCCACAAAAGACTGAATGAATACTCACATGCTGTGAGAGGCACAACTCCCAACCACGCGAAGGCCACAAGTGTATAATGAAACCAGTATCGTATTGCAGTGCCAATACTTGTAACC